ATGCTGAGCACAGTTATGTGTAAATAAAACTTTATTTACCACGACCGGTGAGGGCCCTTATCTACAGAAAGGGGATGTAACCCACTAGATGCTCTCCCATCTCACAAATACTGATTGTCGGGCTGAGAGTCACCATATCAGGACCTCAGAACCCACTCAGCACCACACGAGGATAATAGGAGAGCCAGCTAAACCCCAGTCCTCTACCCACTGGTCCACATTTTGCTCGGGCTGTCTACCCACTTCTGTGCCAATCTCTCAAGGTTGTTAAAACGGGCCATCCTCCCAGGCCAGGCCAAAGTATCAACCATTGACAAATCCGTGGTCCCTGTCAAAAAGAGCTACCTGCTCTCCAGGTTCATCCACGGCCTCCCACCTTTCCCAGCCTGAACTAACTTCACTTCGGACACAGCATCCCTGACGTTCCCTGAATCTAGGAGCAGCTGCCTAGGTGTGAGGCCAGGGGCTATGGCTTCTGTGCAGAGTGGAAGGAGAGCGGTGGGGGCTTGTGGTCCTCAGACAGATGGTCCATCTCATCTGGCATCTTCACCTGTGTGCCACCCTGTCCTTCACAGATGCTCCCCTGTAACAGCACAGCTGCTCATGGGGCTGAGCCCTCGGTTCTGCCACAGGCGGCCAAGACCTCTTAGCTAACTTCACAGCATGAGCAGTTACATGCTCCCTCCTCCAGACACCACGATTTCATAACCCGGAACTCCAGCATCTTCTCCTGGGTTGCACTAAAGTTGTTCAAGAGAAAGATCTTAAACCATCTTCTCTGAATGCCCCCTCTCTTTGCTTTCTCCATTTATTGGAGAATGACCTTTGGGGGACCGCCCCGGCCTCTCCTGTCCCTCTGCGACATGCGTGCTGGTGCTTGTCATAAGCAGCTCGAGTCAGGAGACAACTGTCTATTGAGCAAACACTAAAACCGCGCTTCCTCCTTCCAGGTGCTGCTCGGAGCTCTTGGCCAGTATTAACTCGCTGATCCCTAACGATGACGCCCCAGATGGGTGCTGTAACTGTGCCCATTTTATAGATGAGGAAAATGAGGTGGAGGGAGATGACACGCAGCCACCAAATCACACAGGTGGTCAGTGGCTGTGGCCGGCAGAACAATGGGCCCCCAAAGTTGTGATCCCTGGAGCCTGTGAGTATGTTATGTTACACGGCAAGGGGGAACCAAGGCTGCAGACAAGTTCAGATTGCTGACCAGCGACCTTAAAACAAGGCGATGACCCTGGATTATCAGGACGGCAGTGTAACCACAGTGGTCCTTAAACTGGGAGAGGGAGGCACGCGTCAGCGTCCCAGTGACGCGATGAGAGAAGGACTTGATCAGCCACCACTGGCTGTGAAGATGGAAGATGAAGAAGCCAAGGGATGCGGGCAGACTCCAGAAGCTGGAAAAGGCAAGGAACCAGATTCTTCCCTAGAGCCTCTGGGAAGGAGTGCAGCCCCGCGACACCATGATTTTAGCCCAGTGAGACCCATTTAGGACTTCTGACCTGTGTTTTTTTAAGCCACTACCTTTGTGGTAATTTGTTACAGCCGCAGGAGGAGACTAACACAGATTTTGGTCCCGGGAGTGGGGTGCTGCAGTAACGGATGTGGAAGTGGCTCTGTAACTGGCCAATGGGCAGAGGCTGGAAGAATCTGAGACACGTGATAGAGAGCGCCAAGACTGCCTTAACAGACTGCGGGGAGAAACGCGAATGTTAAGAGCTCCGCTAGCGAGGGCTCGGAGGGAGGTCGGGAGCACGGAAGAGCGAGGCTGTGTCATCTCAGAGGGCTGGAATCGGCACGAAGACTACAGGTAGAGCCACCGACACCAAGGACGCTGCTGGGGGAGCGCAGATGGAAACGAGGAACGAGGCACTGGCAGCTGGAGGAGAGGGAGGTGGCGTCAGAAGACGGCGTTCCCGGGGCAGACGGGGGGGATGCAGCCAGGGGCCGCCACCTTGAGGAAGGAGGGAGAATCGAGGGGGGCGTCCAGCCTCCAGGGCTCCAGCGCGGGGTCTATCTGGGCACACTGGTCACTTCCTCATCACGCTGCTGTATTTTCTTCAAAACGATGCTCAGAGGGAGATGATATCACTTGTTTCCTCGGCCTCTCCCCTTCCCCTGGAGCTTAAAGCCCATGGGCCAGTGACTCCGGCTGTTCCTTCCGCAGAACCTGGGCCTGAACCAGCGCCCCGTGCAGGAGGGGCGGGGCTCGGCTTACGTTTGCTCAGACCGCCCGAAGGAGCGGCAGAGGGGAGGGCGCTAAGCTCAGTGTGGGTGGTCTCATCTCCGGGGAAACCTCCTTTTGCATCCGGGACCTACTAAACCGTCTGTGGTGACCACCCCACATCCATTTGCCCGACGAGGCGAGGGCCGGAGCGACGAAGGCACAATGGAAGGACACGTGTGCACCAGGACAGAAACGTCTGAATCCCACTCAACTTCCACCAGCCTCCGGGTCCCGTCTCTAACTCGCCAGCTGTCCTCCCTCCCTCTGAAGGAACCTCGCGTCAGCCTACTAAGGAAACCTACCTAGCGGCCCAGCAGCTCTCTCCTCTCCAGCTCCACCCACCACTCTGCCCCTCAGGCGTCCAGCAGCCAGGCGCTTTGGCTTTCGAGAAAACCTGCCAGGAGCAAAACAGAAACTCGGACCCCTTCCTCTCATTGTTGCTATTAAACATCCTAACAGCCTCCACACCCCACACGCCCTCCTCACCCACCTTGTGTGACCCAGAGTAGCATTAAAAATGACCCATCCTCCACCTGGTCCTCGTCCTCCTGCCCCGGTTATAGAAAGTAACATGAACACAACTTAAAAAACAATGTCTGTGGAATGGAAAGCAAGTTTAAGAGCAAGACAGGAGGAGGACAAACGTTAACATCCTCTAAAGCTTCAACTTCTGAATTTCCAACCAGGATTACCGAAAAGGTGTCTATTCCTACCTGTCCTTTCCCTCCAAGTCTCCCACAAGCCCACAGTCCCCGGGGAGCCTGGCACAGAGGTGCCTGTGTCACTGTTGGCTCCAAGCCTCGGTCACCCCGAGCGTGTGTACACAGGAGGTCAGCAACGTGGGGACGGGGCCCAGACAGCCTGATGGAGCTCAACGGGGTGCAGGAGGAAGAAGGCTCAGGCTGGGCAGCCAGGACACAGCCGCCGCCCCCGGACCGGACAAGATATCCAGCACACCTCATCGGCCGTGTTACAAAACCCTCTGGTGATCAAGATTCTGGCTGCTTTGTGTCTTTGTCACTGAAGAAAAACGTGGCCAGTCAAAATGACACTGCCCCTTCACACCCTCAGTGCTGGGGATCCTGCTCCGACACCGAAGTCAGCTCCTGTTCCAGAAGCACACACCTCGTGGTAAAGGCCGGCTTCTAATGGCGGCCACTTCAGGGCTCTCAGTTTGGGGCCCCGACACCAATCCCGCATCTCCTCTTGTAAACCAAGGACAGTAGTGAAGTCCAGCCAGTCAACAAAAGGAGTAAAGGGCCAGCCTTGTACCAACAGGCAGACGAGTCGTGTTCACTTAATCTGACCTCCAGAGTGAGCATTGCAGCACCGCCAATGCTTAGTGCCCAGGAGCCAGCTCAAGGACGGGAGCCTAGAGGAGCCACCCTCTGCACCTGGAGCTGGAGACAGGAGACGCGAGGGACATCTGTACCTGGGAGATGCTGTTTTCACGGCATGATTGCAGATGAATTAGTCGAGCCGTTAACCACCACGGTAGAAAAGATAGCAACAAAGAAAGCAGGAGGGACAAGGGTGGATGTACTTCCTTCACTGAGTTTTACATAGAGAATTCGTTATCATCTTGCTTATTTGGCAGACTGGTGTGCCCAACTTAGCAATTTAAAAATTCTGGACAGGACCTTTGGGTATATATATCGCTTGTTAAAGTACTGACATAAAAAAAGCCAGACCTTAAAGTTTCAGGCTTTTAAAAGGTCATGCTCATTGAAAACGTGCCCTACCATTTACAGTTTATTTACTTACGGTACCTTATTTGTTTTCATGGGGAAGGAAATATTTTCTACCGTAACACCATAAACATCAGTGTTTATGAAAGCTCGAATCAAGATCCTCTGGTACTTTTGAAAAATCACAAATACTGCACACACTAAAATAATTCATTACTTGTCTTAAAAATGCTTCTACAGAAAATCACTTCTAACCCCCATTACATACGAGCAGAGATCAAGCAGATGATAACTGAACTGGAAAATGCAGATATGCCCGGCACTAAGAGAGGGCAGGCTTCAGTTCTGTGCCCTACTTTCCTGACTAGACCCTGCAGGGGACCGCTCTGAGCCTCGGTTTCCTCTCTTGTAAAGAAGGGGTAATTATATAGCTCTGCTCTCCCCTCAAGCTTGTTGTGAGATCCTGTTCCTGAGAGTATTTAAATACCTCTGGTCACATTAGCAGGCTCAGCGCGGGACTGTGGGCTCTGGAGCCACACACATAGGGAACAAAGTCACCAGCAGATTCCCTTTGGAGCCAGGGGTGCTTTTCAAGTGTCACTCGATTGTCGCTAAGACGCACTGAGTGGCTGATAAGCAAAGGAGAGCAAGTGGGAACAGAGAGTGGCCAGGGGTGGCCACGCACTGTGACCTCCAGCCTGATCCCCCAGATGGGGTCACCTGCCATAGGAGGGCCCTGTGCGCTGCTGGACGCCTGCCCTGGGGAACCCCTGCTCTGGGGGCACCGTGCCCTGGGGGGCCCTGCCTTGGAGACTCTGCCCTGGGGAACCCCTGCTCTGGGGGAACCGTGCCCTGGGGGGCCCTGCCTTGGAGACTCTGCCCTGGGGAACCCCTGCTCTGGGGGAACCGTGCCCTGGGGGGCCCTGCCTTGGAGACTCTGCTCTGGGGGACCCCTGCCCTGGAAGATCCCTGTCCCGGGGGACGCTTCTCTCAGGCTGGAAGCCCTTGCTCTTCCGCCGTCCCGCCCCGTCCCTGCGGAGCCCCAGGACAGCGTGGGCCCGGGCGACGCTGGCCCTCACCTGCGGTGTCCCAGATGGAGATGTTGTGGGAGCGCCACTGCTTCAGGTAGAAGGCGCCGCCCACCGTGCTGACCGTGTCCGGGAAGCGCCGCTCCATGTACCTCTGAAGCAGGGACGTCTTGCCCACGTTCATGTCTCCCAAAAGCACGATCTTCCCGTCGGGCTTCCTCATCTTCCCGCTGGAGGCCCCCCTCCTGCTCCCCGCTCCCGTCCGGCCTGTGCGCCCCCGGCGCAGTGGGAGCAGCCGACCGCCGCCCCCGAGACCGCTGGGACCCGGGACTCGCGGAGACCCAGACTCGCGGGGACCCAGACTCGCGGGGACCCGAACTTACGGGACCGGCCGTGACCCTCCCGTCCGGACGCCCGGGAGCGTGGAAGAGGAAGCGCGTGTCCCCCCCGGGGCAGGAGCGAGGCACCCAGCCCGGCGCCCACCTCGGGTGTCCAGACCGCGGCAGACCGCGCTCGGACCACGGCGCCCCTGTCCCCGCCCCGGCTCCGCCCCGGCCCTCCTCCCGGCCCCGCCCCAACTGCCCCCGGAACACCGGCCCCCTCCCCGGGCCTCGCCCCGGGCCCTGCCCCGCCCACCCGCCGCGCTCGGCTCTTGCGCCAGACCGGGAACTCCTGGCCCGGGAGCGGGGGTGCTTTCCGGCGGGGGAGCGTTTGGAAGAAGGCGGGCCTGGTGGAGCGCCGCGCTCGGGGCGGCTCGAGGAGGCAAAATGAAAGTCCCGGGGCCGGGTTCCGCCGGTCCAAGTTCCCTGCCGGTGATGTGGGCCGCCCAGACCGCAGGGTCGCGCCCCCTGAGCGCTGCCGGAGCGCTGGTGACCCCAGAGCCGCGGGCCCCTGGCCAGGCCAGTTCACCCAACGCCTTGCTGGCTGTGTCCATGTCCTCATCTGCGTGGGTACAAATGTGGCCACTAGTCAAGGTCGCTATAAAACGTTTACCTTCAATGAGCCTCTGTGAAAACCCCTCCTAGAACTGTGTTAGTGATTAGAAAGCTAGGGGGGTGGGAGGCGGCAGGAGGGCGCTGGAAGTGTCGATCTTGTGTTGCTTCGTTCACTTTTGCAAGAAACCGTTTATGCTATTTTCTATCTGAAATGCGGACAGCCGTCGCCTTTTAAACTTTGGAGAGAAAATTGTACTTTGGCAGTTGCAGTGACTACTATCTTTTCTCCTTCCTTTTTTCGTAGAGTAAACCTTGAAATGCTTCTAAAATATTCAGCGTCTATTTATTTTAGAGAAAATGCTGATGTAGAACCCGGCGCTCTGGTTTGAGCACCGTGGGGGTGTTTGCTGAGGCCGCTGTGTCCTCCGGCCTCCCATAAAAGGAGAAGGGGAGGGCCGGCCCACTGAAGGGCGCCCTGAGACCCGGCTGGGGCAGAGGTGTGAGGGCATCTCAGGCGGCAAGGTTGCTGAGACCCGGCCAATCTGGGACTTCAGTGGCTGTGAACATTCCGGCGTGGAAGGCTCCCTAATAGATGAACCCTGTTCCCTCTGTGCTCCTTCTCTGCCGCCACTGCCTCTTCAGAACGGAATTTAAGTCAATTCAACCTGTATTGCATGCCTGTTGCATGCACGTTATAGCCCCAGGCCTGAGGGCTCTGAGATTCGGTTCCTGCCCCAGAGGTTCACAATGAGATAGAATGAATAAGCTTTGCGTAAACAAATTAAACCTTGCCACAGGGTTGCAAGTAGATCTAAGTTGTTGCGGCTATACAGGCGGGCCAGGCTGGACACCAGGTCTTCAAAGGCGGATCAACAGAAAGCACCTGGGGTAGGAGAGCCCCTAATGCGGGTGGGGGAGAGCCCCTGGAATGTGAAGCACTGTTACGACCTCCAGAGGGAGCAGGTGCGAAGCCCTGGGCGCTGACTTGGTTTCTTCAGCCACAAATCAGCCACTCAACCCTGTGAGCGCGTGGGAGGAGAGAGCCAAAGCGGCAGTGTGGGTGACCCTGCTGGCAGGTACAGAGCTACACAAATGCCAGGGGTTTCTGGGTCCCCACAGCAAACAACGGTGTCCGGAACAACTTGTCTGAAGCTAATTTTCCTTTGCAGAGGACCCTCTGCTCATCACATGTTTAAGAAGAACCCAGTTGGAGGTCGCCTTTCATCTTGTTCTTTTAAAAAAAGGTCTTCCTAGGGCCAGCCCCTGTGGCCTAGTGGTTAAGTTCAGTGCGCTAGGCTTCAGTGGCCCAAGTTTGGTTCCTGAGTGTGGACCTACACCACTCTGTTAGCAGCCATGCGGCCATGCTGTGCTGGCAGCCCACATACTAAAAAGTAGAGGAAGACTGGCATGGATGTTAAAAAAAAAAAAAAAGGTCTTCGTATCTGGAGGGAGAAAGTCTGTGTGTAACCCTGCTGCTTCCTCCAGCTCCATCTTTTCTCCTTCCTCTCCTTCAGGGCCAGCTTCTCTGGGTGTCATCCACCTTTTCCTGCAGCCCCTGCCGTCTGGCTTCCGTGCCCACCTCCCTGGAGAAGTGTCTACTCAAGGTCGCTAACGACTTGCTTGTTTCTAAATCCGGGGGCCTCTTTCTAGCCCCTTCTGGAGACGCACTCTTGCTTCTCCGCTGACTTGGATGCCGTGGGCCCACCCTGCCCGCACTCGCTGGTTCCCTGTGATTCTCTGTTATTTGGACTAGCGTCCTGCCGGGATCTCCAGCACCTTCAGTCCCCCTCCTCTGACTGCAGGTTTGTTCCTTGTTTTGGAAAAATTTTCAAGCACGAGAATAATATAACAGATGGTACCTGGGTCCCCACTTCCCAAAACTAACAAAAGTTTACGTTGTGTGATTTCCAGTCCAGATGATTTTTAGGGAAATAGGACACTAAAAATAAACTTGGTGTCCCTTTTGTTCCTTTCACCTGCCTGGTCCCCACTCTTCCCCAAAAGGCAACCATGTTCCTGAGTTAGATGTGTGCCTTTCAGGTGCATTTTGAAGATAATTTTCCTCTCCTACATGTCACTGTACGGGATGCCATAAAAAGTGCCATGGACTGAGTGACTTAAACAACAGAAATTTCTTCTCTCACCTTTCCTAGGCGGAAAGTCTGAAATCAAGATGTCGGCAGAACCACGGTCACTCCGAAGGCTCTAGGGGAAGATCCTTCCTTGCCTCTTCCAGGTTCTGGTGGCCCCAGGAGTTCCTCTGCTTGTAAATGCAATCTCTGCCCCTGTCCTCACACAACCAGCTTCTCTCAGTGTGTCTCTTCTCTGGGTCCAAATTTGTCTTTTCTTGTAAGGACACCAATCCTATTGGATTAAGGGCCTGCCCTGTTCCAGATGACCTCATCTTAACTAATTGCATCTGCAATAAGCCTATTTCCAAATAAAGTCGTGTCCTGAGTTACTGGGGTTAGGACTTCAACATATCTTTTTTTTTTTTTTAGGGAGGGGAGCCATAGTTTAACACATAACAGTAGCTATACACAATTTGTAAACAATATATTAGACCACGTCAGTCACCTGTGGTGTGTAACAAACCACCACAGGAGGTGGGGAGACAAGGAGAGCTCAGTCAAAGCTCTCAAAGGAGAGCTCAGGTCCGGGGTTCTAATGGCCAGCAGTGGATACTTGAAATTTCCTAAGAGACTAGATGTTAAGCATTCTCATAAAAAAAAAAAAATACAACTATGTGAATTGATGATGTGTTAATCAACTTGATTCTGGACATCATTTCACAGTGTATACATATATCAAATCATCACGTTGTATACTTTTAAATATATGTGATTTTATTTGTCAGTTATACCTCAATTTAGAAAAATGGAGTAGCTTAAAACAACCACTATTTGGTTATCTCTGAAGTTCTGTGACCGGGTCATGCTGGCAGTTCTGCTGGTTTTCCTGGGGCCTCCCGCGGAGCTGGAACTGGAGGCCTTGGAGACGGGAGGCTCCAGAGCTGGAACAGCCAAAACGGCCCCTTTCCGAGGGCATTGGTGCGTCAAGGCCCTTCCCTGTGCTTGTCTTTTCTCCACGCGCCTCCCCATATGCTCCAGAGCCTCCTCACACAGCGGATCTCTCTCCAGCAGGGCAGGGGACTGTTCGCTTGGAGTATCAGAGCTCCCAAGAGCAGTACCGAGGAATGAAGTGGAGGGGACAAAGTTTCTGAGGGCCTGGCTTGGGAGGTCATGCAGCACCACTTCTGCACGAATGTCAAGGGGCTGTAGGGCCAGCCTGGCTTCAGGGAGGGGCATTACACCCCATCTCTGGACGGCAGGAGTGACAGGGAAGTGTAGCCATCTTCAGTCCACCACAGGCAGGTTAAAAGTGGTGACATTTTAATTTTCACATGTCAGGCTTTAGCCCATCTGTAATTTATTCTGGATGTGGTGTGAGGTAGTGCCCTAACTTAATTTTTTCATATAGAAAGGAGATTTTCCCATTTATGAGACAGCCCATCCTTTCTCATGATTTGTAATCCTGCCTATACCACATACTAAAATCCTGCTTACTCACGGGTCCATTTCTGGACCCTCTGTCTATCCCATTGATTTATTTGTCTAACCCTGAGCAACACTGCAGTGGCTTAATTCCAGCTACATAATGAGTCTGAAAACAGGTGAGGGAGGCCCCCCATCATTCTTTTTTTGGCTGTTCCTAGACTTTTACTTTTCTGTATGAATTTTAGGATCAATTTACCTAATTCCACGAAATATGTTATTGGAATGTATAGTTAAATTTGGGGAAAATTGACATCTTTATATTAAAATTTCCCATTCGTGAACATGGTGTACCTCTCCGTTTATTCACCAGGTTTTCAAGGCTCACCTAGACCTTTTACATTTCTCTCTACCCTTTTTCTCTTGAGGAAATGTATCTCTTCCCAGAGTATGCTTTATGACTCTCTAAACATTATCTCCTGCCTACTCTGTCACCTAAGCTCTTTGTCCTTTCTCCGTCCACCTACTACACCCTTCTCCATGGATGCCTCAGTATGGCGGTCCGCCGTGTCATTCATCTTCCTTCCTCTGGATGTGAAGTCATTGATTCTTTCACCTTCTTTATATCTATGTCCAAAATCACCAAGCCCAGTTGATTTTCCCTTCTAAATACATGCTCATCCGTCTTCTCTCCCTTTTCCCATAACCACCAGCCTATGTGGAACCTGCTTTCCCACCCCTTTCCCTCTAGCGCCCTGTCCTGCTTTATTTTCTCACCACTGTCTAAAGTTGTATCGCTTATTCACCTGTTTAACTGTGCAGTCTGCCTCTCTGGAATGTAAGCTCCACAAGGAAGGGAATTTTTCTGGTTTGCCCATCACTATGCCGGGTGAAGAGTCTCGAGCACATAATTGGTGCTCAAGAAAGCTGAGTCAGGACAGAATGGAAGAATTCACCATGCTGGTGAGACCAGAAGTGAGGTCCTGCAGACACATCACACCAGCTGTGCTCCACACCCTCATGCACTGGGTTTGCCTCCCCTGGAAAGCCCCCCAACCCCTCATCCGTGTGGGTGGGCCTGGGAGCTCCAGTGGT